CAGACACACAGACGCACACACACACACACACAGAGAGACACGAACACAGACGCACAAAACACACACACAGACACACACTCACATACACACAAACACTCTCGCGAGCGCGCAATGTGCATGTACATGTACAGAGCTTTTCTCTCGGTCGCCCTCCTCTCTTGCTCAGGAGGCATAGGGGAGAGGCAGCCGTGGACTTGGATCCCGAGAAGCGGAGACCTCGGCTTTGATTTTCCGGACGGGCTTAATCAACAGCTGTCGTCGGGCGATCAGAGTGGAGTTCTTGACATTCCAATTTACCAGAACCCCTGCCAAAGCGAGTTGCATCGATGAAATTGCTGTTCAAGTGTGCTGGTGCTGGTTCGCCAGCGTCGACGTAGGACCTTCTACCAAGTGGGTTTAGCTACTATAGATGTCGGATCGCAGTCCTGTGCCCAGGGCACAGCTCCTTTCTCGCTGGGGGTTGTCAGCCGAACGGGCGGTGCGCTACGTGATGCAGGCCATTCCTGGCAGTGAGGGTTCCGGTGTTCGATCCTGGTCCCGGCATTTCAATTTGCTGATCTTGCGGTTTAAACTTTGGGGTTGAAATTGCAACAGCTGATCCCAGGATGGGTGAGTTAGCTTACGGTCTGTGGCTACAGGTTTCAGAAACCCAACGTAATGTTGGAGTCGCTTTAGTAAATCCCCCCCCCAGAGGTTGTTTTGCGTCCGGGGGTTGCTTGGGGCAGGGTTTGGGTCGGGGGGTGGGAATAGTAAATCTCTGGCCGTGTCTGGGGTTCGTAGTATGAGTAGTATTAAATAATTAGTAGGAATAATTAGTAAGTAGTATTTTAGGCGGCTGACAGGCAACTGAGTCCGTGTGAGAGAGAGAGAGTATTTTAGGCGGGGAGTATGTTTATTGTCACCCCTTTGATTATTCCGATCCTAGGTCTGACATCGTTTGTTTAGGCAAACCTGGCCTTGAAGCCCTATGCAATTGAAAGCAGTGTTCCGCAAGAAACTCTGGCCCCGGGAAGTATTTTTATAGCCACCCGAATTATAGACGTGACTCTTACATTAATCCTGCGGAGATCTGCGGGTCGAGTCGGAGTCGAGCTCTGCAGCTCTGCTGGCTCGAGCAAGAGCTTCTTGTGTGCATTTTGCTCACGGCCGCCAGGAGCTCCTGGCAGAAAGCCTTCGCATGTAAACGAGAGCTCCTGAACCGAGCATGCCTGGCACCAAAGAACATGTGTCAGGCAGCGGCAATTGAGGAGATTCGAAAAGTGGTCGCCGCAGGTTGGAGGCACAGGGTCATGGGGTCATGAATCCGTCGAACTCTGCACCTTGGTCAACAGACTGTCGCAAGGCCTCAAGCTTGGGCACCTCGTGCAGACGGAACGCACAAAACGGCGGCTGAGCAGCTCAATGAGCGTCCGAGCTGCAAGTCTCCGATGTGCAGACAGGGAGCTGGCGTTTCAATTGCCTGCTTCTTCTGAGGACCATCTTAAAGTTCCGGGAGGACCTGTGCGCTGAGCAGCTTCATCCTGGACGATGCATTAGCTAGTGAGCTAGTGCAGCTAGTGTGAGGATGCCTTTGGCCCGTCTGGTGGACACCAAATTGATGTGGTCTGGGCCTCATCTATCCGAGTGACAGGTGCAGTATGGTACAGTCTGGTTGAAAGTGGTGGCCTGCACAGCGCACTGCTTAGGTCTCTGCGTTTGCGCGCAGGTGGGACCTGCCAGCTGCAGATGTTGCGGTACTCCGGAAGCTGTCGCACAAGGCGCTGCAGGGTGTAACATGCAGGACGCATGCTATGCGTGTGGGGCGTTCCGGACCGGGAGCGACCACCTCGGATGCCTTGCACACCCTCGCAAGGGGGTATGGAGTAGGCTGGGGAGATGAGCTCGCTGGTCCTGTAAAGTTGGATCAAGGGATGCCAGAGCTCGCAGTGCTTGACTACCTACAGCTACAGTACTTGAGAGCTGGAAGTGCAAATCAGCTGATAATATCGATGCCATCTTCTGCAAATCTGGGCAAGAAAGCAGCACGAACTTGCAAAGCAAGCCTGGCAGAAGCTTTAAGAGCAGTGCCTGTAGCAACAGAATAAAAACATCTGGCTCAGGACCTGCGGCATGTCATGAAGGAGATTTTGGGCGTCGAATCATGGGGCATAAGCCGGTATAGTGCGGCGGCACCGCTACACTGTCGTCTGTGCAGCTGTCACGGTGAAGTTTCTGAAGTCTGAGGTTTTGAGATGCTTTACGGATCAATTGAGCTTCAGGAGTTTGATGGCACCTCCTCCGTGTCGCAGCTCTCGGATGAAGCCTCCTTGCTGGTACCCGCCGAGGAGCTGTGGCCGTTCATGCCGAAGGCCCTCTCGGTGTTGTCGGGTTCAGCCGGCAGGATGTGGAGCGGACCGAGGAGGCGGCCGCCGAGAAGCCCGGACCGCTGACCTGCAGCAGGTGCCTCCCGCCGTAATCCTGCGGGACGTCGAAAACACCATGAGAGGTCTGATGTTTTGAACAGGGGATGGCTTTCTGCAGAAGATTCTCATGCCGATGTCAGGTTTAACCGATTGGAACTCATCAACCCCGTTGATGACGCTCTGGTGGCCACTGGGCCAGCAAGCCCGTGCCGGAATTCTGCGTGTGGGCTATGCGCTGGCTATGCGGCTATGCCGTGCTAATGATGCTAATGGCCTGGCAACATATTTGACTGTAGCTGTAGCTCTTCTTATTTCTTTCTCTGTTATTATCACTACTCTCTTTTCAAGGCAAGAAGAGCCTGATGGCTTACGAAGTTGCTAGTTCACATCGCCGTGTTCCGCTTCGCATAGTTATGAGTATTCGTTTTGGCCGTGAAGGTGGGTGACGCCAACCTGACGTTCTCTCAGTTGCTTGCGAAGCATCGTGAGGCCAGAGACTGTTTCCGACTTCTGAAATAAGAGACGGATGGGGCAGGCTTTGGGTCACGTCGGCCGCATCGTTGCCACCACGTTCGAGACGATCGAAGTCTTGCGCTCCCTGGCTGCAGAGCAGCCACGGTCTTCACTTTGTTCTTGATGGCAAAGCGGAATCCCCGTCGCCGTGCAGGTGAACGCTATCCCGAGATTGAGAGCACTGTCAAGGAATCGGATGTTGCGATTGTGTGGGGGGAGAAGGAGTAAGAGGGAGCCGCGAGATGTCAACATGCTTTCGCCTCACATCGCAATCGCAAGGAGTTGCGAATAGTGTCATGGAAGACTATGCTTGTGCATCCACAACACTGCTTGGCTGCAACGGAGGAGCTTGAGGACAGGCATGCAGAAGTCCTGCACAATGTGGATGGCACCCGGCTTGCGGTCGATCCGCGTTTCCAGGCGGGTGGGCCCTGGGCTCGATGCAGGCTGTCAAGGGTTGGGGGCAGCTTCTGCGGTTATCCGACAGCTCGAGACACCTTGCAGACACGCCTGGTGACCTGGGGTTGGAAGGAGTGTGCAGTTTGTGCTTGATCAGATTGAAGACTTGCCGTCACCAGACATGTGCAGGGAATGGAGAACAGCTTTGGGGCAGTCTACTACAACTTTCCACATGCCGGAGTGGTGCAGGGCTTTTTCGATGGCCACCCTTTTGTGAGTCGCGTGGCGGCAATCGTGGCAGAGCCTCAACAAGACCCTATCGAAGGGATGTCGATTTTCATTTGTTCTCAGGATGGCGACATGAGAACCTGATGCACCTCTTCTTCCGGGTGGGGAGACATTTGCTTGGCCGTGCCATGCCCGCGCATTGCTCGTGCATTTTCCTGCCACTCGTGCACCATGCAGGCCTTGCGAGGTTTTGTGAAGCCCGGTGGCGTGGTGAAAGTTGCCTCCAACTCCAATGCCACAGGACGATGCATGTTTCGACATGTTCTCGTTCGGCTTTCGAGTTTGCCTTGTGCTCTCAATGACCGCGACCTTCCCATGCTCTCAGGAGTTCGGCTCCTTGCAAGCACGAATCCTGCTTGCCTTGCCGGGCTTCTGCCGCTGAAGATCGTGGTCAGCTAAGGTTTTCCGATATCCTGAGCGGAGCACAAAACAGTGCCTCAATATGCATCCTAGCGGCGTCCTAGCGGTCCTAGAAATTTGTGTGCAGATCTTGTGCTTTGCCTTCTGAAGGTGAGTTCCTCCACGTCGAGACGATGCCATTTCTCGAGTGGAGCCTGAGGCCGGTCCTCGGCGTAAAGCGGAACAGGGATCCGCGTGTCGTGCAGCGTGGACCACGTGGGTCCAAGCAGGTACTACCATCGGTCATATGGGGATCGGCGAGATTCCAACAGACGTCCAGATGAGAAGGCCTGAAGACTGCGCAGCTTCCTCTGTCCGGTGCGAGTGTGGAGACCACGATCCGGGTCGGAGGAAAACTACCGATGCCAGTCCAAGGGCTCCGACATGGCCTGGGGCCCAGGAGGCTGTACGACGCAGCAAAAGAGCTTCAGCAACGAGGTCTACACGTTCCGATACGAACCAAGTGGCAGTGTTCCACCCAAGGCATTGATAAGGCGTGTGCTGTTGGCACAGACATGCACATGCAGTCGTTCACAACAGTGTGCTCCAGGCGCCCGCCAACAAAGGATGATCTGTTCCTCTCGAAAGAGGGCAAGATGCCAATGAGTCAACTCCTCTGGTTGCATCTTGCCATTTGTCGAGCTGAGGCCGCAGAGCTGCGGAGTTCACTTGCCCGCTGAGGTGCTGAGCAAAAGCGGCAGAGATTGGAGGACAGCCTGCAGTGGTCTGACTAATGATCTAGGCAACAAAGACAACAACCGACTTTTTGCGACTGCTGATTGAAAGGATGCATCTGGACATCAGCTGCTTGCTTTGCTGCATTCTGCACAAAGAAGATTTCAGTACATTCATATAGGCCTCAGCATCCAAAGCCAACAACTGGGTGGCCAGTGGTGCATTTGCAGTCCCGGTGCACGTTGCCGGGAATGCAATTCGTGCATTAACGGCGTCACTTCTCCAAGACGCGATCTTTCCTCAACGTCCGGGCTGCACTGCGCGGACCTCGTAGATGACAACGGGCAGAACAGGTGAGTGGAGGCTGGTGTGGATACGAGTAGACGGGATCGCGGGTCATGCCACCGTGCCCGCAGCAACAAAAACAGCCACACACGAAGGCCCACTTACGTCGCCTCATGCCCACAGACACAGGCCGAAAAAGAAAGAGAGAGAGAGAGAGGGAGCGAGAGAGCTTGACACGCACCCTATGCCCCGGAGAACAGAACAGAACAGAGCGAGAGAGTTTGCGTAAGCACAGACGGACCACAAGGAACCAGTGCGCGTGCGCGCGCAGGGAGGGCAGGGACACTGCCTTCCTTCGGCTGTGCAGAAGAAGAGATCAGACTCTCGCTCTTTGCCTGGCTGTGACGGGCGGGGAGTGATAGGCACGACCGGCCGAAACGATGGCAAAGCCAAGCGGACGAGAACTGGTTTAGGCCTCTGTTATCGCTGTTAATCTCGCTGTGCCCCACCCTTTCAGCCCACCCCGAGTGCAAGGATCAGCGACATACCATTTTGCAATGAGCATCTTCCAAAAGGGAATGCAACCCGTGACTCCCAGGTCCCAATGTGCTGTGGCGACATGGGAAGCCTGCTCTCTCGTTGCATGCTGCATCGCTAGGCCCCAATCTTCCCATGCCATAATTTGGCAGGATGCCTCGTGCTCATGTGCCCTACCCTGCAAGACATGTTTTTGCTTAAGTCGTCCTGCAGAGGATCCACAGTAACCACAGACTCGGGCTTGGGCTTCTTTGATTGGCACATCTCGGTCTTCTCCTCTGAAAGTATGATGCGAGACAAAAAGACAAGCATCGGTGGATGAAAGTTGAACATGTTAGTGACCTGAGCGCTTTGGTGAGCAGGAAATCTACGAGCTTTTCCTCTCGTATGTCCAGGGTATCCACGTTGGGTGAGTGCAGCCTCTGATGTCTCATTGTTTCTCTGACCACCAGCGCATGAGACAGCAAACCGGCGAGTCTCATGGCTGGAGCAGAACGACGTCACCTTCGGGAACTCGGTGGCCAAGCTCACGGCGGGCGAAGATCGGGCCCTGCACTGCTGAGCATCTGTATGTGTCGGCGGAAAACCGGGTTCCGCTCTGCTTTTCAGCGGCATACTCGGCAGTCTCACCGAAGATTCCGGTTGCTGTCGGCAAGTGGGACATGGATCGAACAGGTCTTCATGCCCGCTGGCTGCCAGATCGGCATCCTAGAAGCTCTTCTAGGCGCCGGACATGCGAGAACCCGACGCACAGTTCTATTTAGCCAGCTTTTTCCAGGCCGGCTGGCTGTGGATTCCCACTGTGAGGCAGGACGGCAGGACTGGCCTGGCCAGGCATTGCACACCTGCGGAGTCGTACGAAGTTGCCAGGGCCTGAAGGCACTTTGGCACCCCTCTTCCTTGACAGAGATCCTGCAACTTGCGCAGGCTGCCAAGAGTTGCATAGGCTGAACTCATCGATAGCGATGGCTGAGAGACTTGCAGGTTGCATCAATGCTCCAGATTGACGAGGTAATGCCTGAACTGGTCGGTCTTGTCTCGGAGGCGCGAAAACTCACGGTCAGTCTGCACTAGCTTGAAGGGCTTTCCTTGACTATCGCATTGAGGCTATGGCGAGTGGGGCCGACGCAGCAGAGCTGGAGGCCGTGCTCACCGCGTGCTGAGAGGTGCCTCAAGCAGATCAGCCGCAGGCCGCATGTGAGCGGCTGCAGTCAGAGTCTCGGTCCGAGTGACCTGTCACCGTCATATCTCAAAGGACTCAACGGGATTCGAGTCAAGTCACAAGTCTGTATGCTGAAGCTGTTTCGGCTCAGGTTGGCATGGCCATGCATGTATCAGATCGTATGGAAAGCAGACCAAGATCTGTTGCCGCTTTAGGTTTGCGATAGGGTTTACATTCGGTGGCGCTTGTCACGGCATCCTTTTGGCATTTTTGACCTGGCCAAATGAGAGGTGGCAGATACCAAGAGCTCGAAGGCACCTACTGAAACAACCCGACAGGCTGCCGAGGACAGGTCATCTCTTGTCCTTCGAAGCCAGACATGAAGACTGCCAAGCAATTGCATTGTTTGGGCCTCGGGGCCCTCCCACCCTGAGCGCGACGGTACCTGCTTTATCAACCGCCACGCAAAAGTAATCGAATCACTCGGTCGCCAGTATCGATAAAAGACGTAAACCCCCAGCCGAGCCCATCGTAACGTACCTTTCCCCTCGCGTGAACGTTCGGACTCACCTGGCAATGTCTGCGCCTCCACCTTTGCAGCGGCGGCATTTGCTACTGTGCGGAGTGCTGGGCGGCGCATCAGGGCGCTTTGTCTAAGTCTTCGCCGTACTTATCCGGAGCCCTGCATCTCACCAATCCGATCTTGCAAATCTGCTCCGTGCCTAGAGTCTAGACTTCGAGGCTGCTGGCAGCCTACGGTCTCAATGCCTATCGTGGCTAAGCGGCAGTTTGCAGAACCGTGCGGCGGCCGCACTGGCGTCTTCTTATGCTGTCATGCCATTTCCAGGAGACCGAGGGGTCGAGGTCCTGCGCAGATATGCGGAGGCTAGGCGAGAAAAGCTGCCACTGAAGATTATACTAGTTCGAGTCTCGGATGCATTGAGAGCGTCGCCATGCAGCCATCCAGGCTTGATGTTCTTCTCTCGACTAAGGACATGGCCAGTCAGAAGGGAGGCCTGCTTTCATTGGCAGTCGTAACCGCGAATATGATAGGTTCTTCCGCAAAAGCCCTTCAACGGAACTGCGGCTTCTCCATCTCTCGGATTGGGTCGCGGTCGGAGAATTCCAATCCATGGAGCCAGCCAAGGAACCTTGACAAGACGCTGTTCAAAACGAAGGGCGATAACCTCATGGAACTCACTGAGTCCTGCCCTGAGATTTTCAAGAACACACAGGCCGAATTCTCACCCAGAACACCGCTACACTGCACCGCTACACTGCCCGTGTGCCCATGTTTTCCGGTTCTGTCACTTTCCGGTTCTGGCTCCGTGCTGCAAAGCTTTGTGACTGTTGAGGAAGCGTTCAGAGGCTTTCATGTGGCAGTGGCTCTAGTGGCCTTTGGCGATCTACAGTGGCAGAAGCAGCCGACGCAACCCGTAAAGGTTCCTGAAGAACTGCGTGCTCAAATCAGCCGAGAACCGGTTTTACTGCATATAGACTCATATAGAGAGGCTAACGATCGACACAAGACCAAACTCTCAGGGAATTTTGCCACCCTCATGAGCCGATGAAGGGACTCAGGGTTCCTGCTGTCAAGGTTGGGGAGCAGGCAGGCGGTGGCTGTGGGCAAGCGCGTCAAGAAGGTTGTACATGTGCCTTGGCAAGTCAGAGTATTCCAGTGACAGCATGCTGGCTGGGATTCAGCTCCAGCACAGGATGAGAAGGTGCACTTCTATGTTTCTCCTTTTCAACGAACGTTGCAAACGGTGCGGGGCCCAGGGCTGCAAACGCACGATGCATGTCGCGACTCGCGTTCTGGCAACTGGGCAGCCGAGGCCAGAAACATGATCTTCTCCGCTTTCGACCCTTACCAGGTTGTAGCTGTCTCTGTGGATCCCAGAATTCGCGAGCAAGAGTTTGGAAACTTGCAAGGCGTGGACGGGCACCAAATAGGCTAAGATTCCTAACAAGTGCCATCTCTCTCGCGGTCCATCGCTGGGTTGCACACTCGAAAACCAGAGAGGTGACAACTTCGTCGGCCTTCGTCAAGAGAGCACGAAGATCAGAAGATTTTGGTTCCTTGGAGAAATTGCAGAGGAAGCGCGGATGTAGGCGGTATAACGTAAGAGCTCTGCGATATTCTGGGTGTTGCTACTCCGCACTGGAGAGACGCAGAGGGAATGCAATTCTCCGTGGTGCGGGTGTTGTGTGTTCAGATTATGCTCGGAGAATCCCCAACGATCAAAGACCACGCAACGGACCATCTATCCCCGAAGACGCCGGAGCACCACGACGGCCAACACAACCAAGACGACCAGGACCACAAGAACCACCAGTCACTGGTGGGTGCCCTTAAAGTTTAAAGGCTATAGGCCATGCTTCGCCAACCACTTGCAGGTCGTGCTTGAAACGCACGTGTACTTGAGCTTATTAAATCAGACGGCTTTGCAAAAGACTGACAAAAGACTAACAACCTAGCTAGCTAAAAACAGAGAACCTTCCAAAACACTTGCGCCGTAGCTAGCCCGAAACAGAAAGCCTTCCAAGCCACTTGCACCGGAGCTAGCCAAAAACAGAAGGCTGTCAAAGAGCTAATGAAATCACTGCGAAAGCACTTCCAAAGCACTAACAAACTAATCGGGGCTTCTCAATGTTCCCACGAAAAGGAAGTCACAACACCAGTATCAACACGACGACCACGATGACCGGGCGCAACATCCAAAGTTGGTCGCCCCGTAATTTAGAGCACCACATACAAGAGCCCGAATAGCGTGGTGCTGCTAGACTTTGGACATTTCGAAGGCAAAACGAAAGCCTTTGATTGTATTGGAACTTACAGTGAATCGGAGTGAATCGCGGGACTCCGGAGGACGCACGTTTGAAAGAGTTCCACTTAGTCGAAAATGTCAACCGACAGTTGGGGGCTACGGAGCCGCCATGGGTGCTGCCAAGTGTATCAATACTGTCTCAGCGTGAAAGTAAAAGAACCTGACGCCTGGAGATTTGGCAGCCGCAGAGAAGTGCTTTGGCATTCCCCATCTTTAGGTATCGCTTTCCGACTGGGGAGAGTGGTGCTGATGTCTATGACCGAACCCGACAGTGGTGGGATTCGATGATGGATAGCAGCTTGGTGAAAGCTGCGTTGTTTTTGTCGCCACGATGTTGTCGACTCTTGCTGCCTTTTTCACTGTCGTGGCAGTTCTGTTCCGCCCTGATCTGCTTCTCACGTGGTCATCAGGACACCTGATGGAACAGAGCGGGGCCAGCTCCATTATAGTTGTTACCCACGGATTGACCATGCGGCTAATCTTGATGCAGCTATTCCACTGGTCGCCCAACACCTTTCACACCGTTTGGCAGCTCCACTTGCACAGCAAGCATTTTCTGTCGAAGGTTGTTTGCTTGCTGTCATGTTGGTCGAACAAGAACTTTAAACCGTTCCACATGCTGAGCCGAGGAATCCCGACAACTGTGCGATGTATGTTCTGCAGAAGAACATGTCGAGCTCAGCTCATTATCCTTATTTCGTTGATGAAGCAGAGGGCGACCGCATAATGTCTTCTATCGATCTTGCACAGCCCTCAGAGCGTGGACTGCAATCCTGCAGTTTTGCGGCCATTCCGGCCGTGCAGATCCGTGCAACAGCGCAGGCGGCCTTGTAGTGGCGCCGTCAGCTGACCATGAGGTTGTCACGTTTCAAGACAACTCGACGAAGCAGTTGACAATGGTCGATTATCTGTCCATTCCACCGCCACGTACTCTTCAACTTCCGAACCTTAGCCCTTACTGGTTGCAGGAGCTTTTGCAAAAGGTGCTTCTGCTTGTCTGTGCAAGCTCAGGGCGGTCAAGGAGCTCCTCGCTGAGCAGTTTGGCCTTGACCCTCTCGATATCAAGGGCATCGATGCTTGGGCCATACAAGAGTTGTTGAGGTCTAGGCTGCAGCATGCTGCAGCAGCAGTCGTTCATTGGTCAACTCGCTCCAGTCGAGCGGCCAAGGTCAGTCTTTCATAGTTAACAACTGGCCCGACACACTTGCGATGCCTACGAGGTCTTTTTGATGCGCAAGCTCTAGTCACTAGTCGCGGGGATGGCAGGGATGCTGTGGGAGGCCCGATGTTGGTGTGCCCATCCGGATGAATGGCTGGAGTTAGAAGATGTCATGATGTAAAGTGAGAGTGTATTTCTACGGCCAAAGTTGGCGCCTGAAGGAATAAGCCAGACAGCGCGGGAGAATGTAGGAAACGCTTGAGCGGTTTCCTCGACGAGTCCAGGCATCTCTTCGTTCAAGAAGGCAGCTGCGAAACCACAGTTTCAATTTATGATCGCAGCATGTCGCAACCAAAAGGTGACTAGATCATTGCCGTGTGTAAAACTGGTGATGGCAGCTAGAGCAACATCGGAAGCAGTTGCAGCACCAGAGTAGGAGTAGTGATTGGCAACCTTCGGAGTGCCAGAGTTTAGAGTTGTAGCTTTCGCGGCAATCACCAACCAAGGACTTCTACAACGGAATCTTTCAGCGCTTCAAGTGATCAGCAGACTGCTCTTGCCATCATAGCCCGAGCACAAAGCTGCAAATGGCCGCAGCTCTAGCTACACACCAGCAGCACTTAATGGGTTGTAGTGGAATCCAAACTTCGACCTGCCTCGTTGCGTGCTGAAGTTGGTGGAAGATCACTGAGCTTGCAAGCCACAAGGGCTCCAGACGGAGGTGCCGAGAACACGGTAGAACTGCCGCGATCGCAACTCTTCGTAGTTCCTCAAAGCGTGAGACAACTTCGAAGTTAAAAGGATGCATCTCTGGCTGAGGTTCTTGTTGCTGAGCCTTTTGAGCTTTGGGCAGATTCTCTTTTGGAGGCTGCCTCCAAGCATTCAGGAAGTCGCCGCGTCAGCTAGGCGACGTCTTTCGGGCCGCAGAGCAGAGGGGCCTGGCTGGGGCCGCTGTTGGGTCCGAGGCCGATCTCCGAGCCCGCTGGCCTACCTCACACGGATCAAGCCAGACCCTGAGCTCACGCTCTGAATCGACAAGACAGCGAGACTCCGAGGTGCGAGGAATGATTTCCAGCGCACTCCATACAGCAGATGGCAAGGTTCGGAACTGCCGGTTTGTGCTGCAACAGGCACATTCAAAACGAACTACCGGAACATACCGGGACCACGGATCCCAGTGGTCCAAGTACTGCCAGATCTCCGTGACAGGTTTGGCGAGTGGTCCAAAAGGTGATTGACCGGCGGGAGGCATGGAGTCAACGCATAGTGCGCAGCCAAACGCAGCACGAGGCATACAGCGCAGCCTGTGCTTCAGGCTTGGCCACGGCTCGCCAAGGAGAATGCGGGCATGCTGCTTGTCGCAGTGGAGTCCACGCTGTAGAGCAACGATATAGAGTGGATGACCCGAGGCTGCTGGGATTCGCATCGGACTTAGTTGGAGAAGGCAGGCCAGTCCCTGAAGCCTCGACTCCCGAGGCACAAGGTGCGCATGGCAGCATACGAGCGACCCCTCACACTGGCTTCTTCTGGGGTCGAAAACTTGGCGCTTTGTCGTCGCAGTTCGTTTCCGAGGCCGCAGGGCCCCACACAGCCTCACTCAGGAAGTCGTGACTTCCTCTACTTGGTCTGCCGATATATACGAGCCAGGACAGTACCGAATCCAACTGCGTGACAATCGGGTTGGTCATCCCAAGTTTTGGCAAGAGGCCTGAGATCTTCGACGCGATGGTAACGGCCATGTTTGAAGAGGCACGGGCAGTGCAGCATGATATCGAGCTTCCAATCCACCTGGCTGAGCAGGTGTACAGCATGGACCCCGAGCTACCAGCTGAGGTGATCGACGCAGTCTTTAAGGACGCGGGAGGTTTTGGATATTGGGCTAGTCGAGGCAGTTGCTCTCGGAAGGAGCTGCTGGTCCACGAGGGACTCACGTGCGCACGCAGCAGCTCGCTCATTTTGCGTAGATGTCACCCGTCGAAAGGTTTGCACAATGCGAGCACGTGATTGACAAGCTGATGCAACGAGGAGAGCAGATCGAGCCTGCACCCCAGCTGGGACCGCCATGGGCGATTGAGCTTCAACCTTCAGCCTGAAAGGTATCTTTTCCACGAGTGGTCCGGCGTGTTTCCAGCACTGCCTGCAGCTGCGCGACAGGCTCTGGCCAAGGCACTTGCGCTCCGGGCATCTCTGCGTGAATGAAGAAAACGTGTCCAAAGCGTGCAGTGGGAATCCGGGTAGCCGGCCTTCTCAGTGTAAATCTGATTCCTTTCACTGCAGGGCCTCTTGCCCTCGGTCGGTCGCTGTCCCCATGCTGCATTGGACTTTGTCCTAAAGGCGGGTCCGGAGTCCGGAGACACTGGGAGATGACCTCAGGGCAGGGAACGTGTCACGCCGACCTGCGCCTATGGAACCTCGCCTGGCTTGTCCGAATTGTGAGAGCGTAGACAGCCTTGGGGCATGGCACTTTCACATTTGTGCTCCAGCCTGACGCGGAGGAGCTGGATGCCTTACCGCAGCCGGAAGGCCACCGCAAAGACTTTAGCCTCGACTCTACCGTTAACCGGTTAGCGTTTCCTGTCGTGTCTGCCGGCGGACACAGTTTTCGGTATCGTCGAAAGTTCAGTAAAAGGGGAGGGCCTCACCATATTATGCAGCTTACGTGATGTGTAAAACATGTATGTATGTGTGTGTGTATATATATAACATATTATATAACGTTATATATACATATTTTTCGGACAGGGCTCATCGTCTGATTTTCTGCGCCTTGTCCTGTCCGAAGGCTGCGCAAGACACACCAATGCTTGGTGGCGGTGGTATGTGCCGGGCGCCCACCGGAAATGAACAGCTAGCGGCTATCAGCATCATCAGCATCTAAGCCTTTGCATTTCAAAGTGCATTCTCGAGGAGCTTTGGTTGCATGCGCCGCCGGCAGCGCTGGAGAAAGCGCTGAGGGCACCACGAGCCAACCAGCACGATGGGTTTTAACCCTTGCAGCAAGCATGTACAGACTGTCTGCTGCACGCAATTAGTTGAGTCTTGAAGCCAGCCGGGATCAGGGGCGTGGGTCTGAGTTCGTGTCCAGGATTTAAAGTTCTTTCCTTCTTTGGAACTTGTGCCAAGAACTCGCGCCAACTGCATCCGGCTGCAGCTGTAGTAGATGAGAATGCAGCATCGCTCTTCCTACAGCTTTGCCATGCCTCGGCAGTGCCTAGAACCTAGAAGCTAGGTGCAAGGCTTTCTTCATCGGTGATTCCGATGTCGTGGTGTTGAAGTTAAATTTGCACTGTGGGAGATCTTTCATGTCAGATATGAGATGAACACCGCGGAAGTGATGACATGTGCGTCAGGATATGGGAACTCGCTTCCCGGCTTTTCGCGGCATCGTGGAGGCTTCAGGCTCTATCCCGACTCCCCACTTGCTGTCCACATATTGGCGAGCTACAGCCAGGGCATCACAGCACGAGTTTCGTCACAGCATTTGGCTCAAGCCTGAAGTTGGTCTGCGGTTTTTCCTTGGAGCTGCATGGCCCCAAAGTCGAAGTCGAAGGCTCTGGGCAGTCAGTTCTTGGATGTGCGAGCCACGTGTGCGGCCCTTGACAGTGCAAACGACCGGCCAAAGCCAAAACGGCCGGGGCCGAGTTCCGAGAGTCCCTGCGAGTCCCTTCAAGCACGGCCAGTCCTTTACAGGGGTCGATTTGTTAAAAAAACCATCCAGTTGCTTGAGGTGGTGAGGCGTGCTAAGCTGCGATGGCGGCTCCTTTTCAAGCAGCCCGACCCGCGGGAAAGCCGCGGAAAGGTGAAGGCCCGCCTCTCCATGGAAATTTCGGCAAACTGTGAGACCTGCAGCTTGAAGAGTTTTCCTGGTTTGTGGTAGGGTGGGAAAGTCCGGGAAAATCGCGGAGCTGTTGCACCTGCACCTGCGCCCGTACGGGACAAGGTGAGGGCACTCTTCTGAGCTTGGCAGGAAAGGGCGTCAGTGCAAGCTGTTGCGCAGGCAGTGCCACAGATTGCCTTGGCTGAGCCGACCTCGAAGAGAATCAAGAGCGACAGGGAGGTGCAGGCAGCCTGAAGCTGGGATTAGCCGTAGATCGGTGGGAGGGGCAACGGAAAGCATGCGGTGGCGAACTGGACTGCGAGCCGCCGAGCGTGCAAGCACAGCCAATGAACGCCAAGCTATGCCTGATGCGAAGCCTGGGTGGCTCAAACCAGTTGCGATAGGCAACTGGTGTTTAGCTTTCCCTGCCGATGTGGCACCTTCTGCTGCTTGGCCTGGCATGCGGATCTGCGCAGCCAATCAATGAAGTGGGGTGCTCAGCTCAGCAATGTGGCGTTGGCTGAATTGCCAAGCACAAGATCCCGCCGACACCACAGCCGCCACTAGTGGGACGTAAATGGGCCAAGAGCGATAAGGCAACGGCACCTAGTCGCGAGCATCCAGTGTGTGACGATGCGCGGACATCAGGTGTTGGCATTGCTCAGGCTGCAACTTTGTCAATGGCATGTTTCCCAGATGACGACCACAGTCCCAGCCGTCAATCACGAGCAAGCCGGCAGTTAAGAAATAACGTCCAACCGCCGAACCACCACTCACCTCGGCTCAACAGCACACTCCCTTCGATGATGATATTGGGCCCTTTCTGCTTTGAGCTGTAGTGGTCAGGCGCTGTTGCACTTCGCTCTTGAACGGACTTGGCAACGTGTGAAGGGAGTCGGTCCGAGCTTGAAAGGCCATCGGCTAGGACTAGGATGACAAGGATGACAAGAGTCTTCAGAGCCCGAGTCCCTCTTGTAAGTTGGTCGCCTTCGCCACCTAGGTGGGCCTCAGCCTGGCGAAGGCTTGGGGGCCGCGGGTCGCGAGTCGCGAGCGCGCCAGTTTAGACGCTGCGCGGGCTCTCCCCAGGCTGGAGCGGAGTCCCAGGTGCAGGCTCAGGCAGCCGTCGACTCTTGGCAGCGAGGTAGATTTTGCTTTGTGTCAAGGTGTAACTGTTGGGAAGTGTGCAAGTCAGAGTTACAGATTTCGCACCTGCGCCATGAGCGATCTTCAGGCCCAAATGACTGGCCAGCTGCTTCTAAAGCAGCAGCAGTATGAAGCAGCAAAGCTGAAAATGGAACAGCTCTCGCGACAGGCCGAACTTCAGTTCTGGAGTTTCCCGCAGCCTTCGCGAGCTGTTGCAACAGGAAGAGTCATACTCACGTCGCGCTGACATGATGGCTAAACGGGAATCCAGGTGCGTGGGATTTTGAAGCTCTGGGGTAATCGCGTGCTGCAGCTGTGTAATCTCCGCAGGATGGAAGAACTAGCAAAGGTCCACGGCGGAGTTCTGGAGAAGGCTTTCCGAGCCAAGGCCCTGCGATGCCCAGCAAGGAGCTTCTCGTGGCAGTGCCTTAATTTAAGTGCGGCCAGGCCAGGACGCAGGAGTTCCAAAAGAAGATGCTCCAAGGGGAGGAGGAGGTGAAGAAGCTGAACCAGGCCACCAGGAACGTTAGCGTCGAGGTCGGAGAAGCAAGGAAGCTGGAATGTCTGAGGAAATCAAGGCCCAGAAGCAGCTGCTCAAGACCACGGAGGACGCACGCTGGATTACGGTGGCTCAGTGCAGGCTTGCCCAGACCGCAGCTTGAGATGAGGATCAGCTGATCGCAATTCGGCACCGGGAAGAAGATTACAACAACGGTGCGCGCCTTGCTGTCATGAAGAGCAACAAGCTCGAGCGAGACTTGAAGGATGCGCGCAATTCGGCGACAATAGCCTGCGCTCTTTTCAGAAAGTGACTTGGTGCGGGCATTCTTTGCAGACCAGCGGTGTGTAACTTAGGCAAAGAGCTCGCGTGCCTCTCCTGAACTTAAGTTTGAGAAGGCAGTTGGAGGATGTTCCTGACGGCAAGCATGTCTACTGCGTCTCTGTTGTCTTTAACTGTGCCTTTTCTGTGCATGTTTTTATCTCCTGTCGTCTGCAGCATTCGCCGAACTCGTGTTTTTTCGACAACTTCGTCTTCTTGTTTGACGTCAAAGTGTTTTTCGGTTGTTGTCGGTTGCTCTAGCACCCCACAGTTCCATGCAGAGGCAAACAACCCACCCCGAAGCTGTCAACCCAAAAATTAGTGTAATTAGTGGGGCCGGCTTAACGAAGATTAACATCGTTTGACCACGTCACAGGATGCTTGTACAGTACCATGTAGCAGATCTGACAGTTTGCCCAGGGTCCCCGTGGCATCTTGCCTTTCACGAGAGCTTGCTCTGTGGTTCACAATAGTTAAACGGTGGGGGAGGGGGCGGGGCAACCCAGGCGCTCCCCTCTCCTAGGCCCCCGCCTCCTCCCCTACCTGAAGGTACACTGTCCAGCATGTTCAGATTGTTCTTGTTCAGTCCATACTTCTTGTCTCGACCCTGCAAGATCGACACTGGTGTCTAGCAGCAGTTTCAAGGGCAATTGGCAGCATGGCGACTTTCGTGTAGGGTGGCTTCAATTCTATTGCCTTATTTCGCTTACATCTGCCTAGCTATTGCGCTTTTTGACGAGTTACACTTCTGCACGGCGAGCCATCGCACACGCCGCTGTGTGTTGCGACTTCTGCGGCGCCCGTCTAGGGTAGCGCGGGGTGTACTCGCATCTCGGGCCGGTGCATTCCAACCAGCTTGCTGCTTCATTTTCCCGTGAATATCGCGACAACTGTCGGCGTTCAGCGCATTCAGCAGAGACAGTGTGGGTTGTCTCGACCTTTTGAAGCGCATCACTGACAAAAACTGTCAGCAATCGATTCGCACGACAAGTCGCCCCATCCTTTCCCTGCTACGCTCCCTGCCCCTAGCCTTCGTGGCGCTCATCTCAAGCGGTGGTGACGAGCTCATGTTGGCGATTTCTGAAGCGTTGCCGAACCTTCCTCGCCTAGTAGTGTGAGCGCCGAAACACCAAACTTTAAAGTTCAACTAGACTGAGCATCAACAAGTCAAAACCGTCTCCATAAACCCCCGCAGTTGACCACCCTGCAATGCAGCTCTCGTCCTTGCTGAGTGGGAGGCAAAAAGAAGCCCTCAACCCGTGCAGTGTAGTCTCTCTCTGTCGACCTAGACCTAGCCTCGCCTGGAGAGCCCGAGTTGCGAGAGAGAAACTCGTGCAGTTGCGCCTGCTTGCTCCTGAACTTCGGATGTACCTGGTCTTATCTGGCACCCTGCGTCGCGGGCCTGTCATAGCTCGGCCAAAAAAATCTTACACCACCCGTTGCTGTGTTCTTGGGTGCGTTCTCCTCTGAAACCTGTGCTGTTGGTTGGAATCAGTCTGACACCGACTTGTGAGGATCCTTGCCCTGCCTTGCGCGAGTTGTGAGAGTCGAACTCCCCAACCGCAGACGCGGTTGACCCGAAATGCCCCTCGAAACCTTGAGCCGCTAAGCAACCGTAAGCCTGATAAGCCCGAGAGGAAGCGTGCCGTCAACATCAAGACGCCGTTGATGTGTTTGTCCCGACAGTGAGCCTAAGGAGCCAAAAGCAGAACCTCAGCGATGTGCCCTTTGCTTGGCTGGGCATTGCATGGCATGGCACGGGTGAAGAAGACAGATTTGATCAAGTTTGAAGCTGAGGAGTGAGTCGGCGCAGGTGCAGGAGGCACGCTGGGATTCAGCTCGACGCACGCGGGAGCACCAGGAGGTGCCTGGATGGGCTCGGTCTTGAGCGTCCTGAGTCGAACACGGCTGAAGGTCGCGAATCTGGCGGAAGAGCGGCTCGTGGAGTCGAAACAAGGCCGGACCGGGGCCGCCAAGTGCCGCCAAGCGCGACGCAGACGCCTGTCGAGGTCAGCTCGGTCTGCTTCGACAAGTCAATCCTCAGGAAATGTCGCTCGCGGAGCAAGAGCTAGAACGCACCAAGCGACTTGTCTGCGACGTTCCGGGTTCGGATGTTCGGTGACACTTGGCGGATAACCCCTGGGTCCTTCTAATTACCGTCAAATTCAGGTGAAAACCGGAGTTGGTCGTGAGACACGCGTCCCATGCATAGCTACGTAGAAGACTTCCTGCGACATGTCACCTCTCTTTCAGGCTCTTGCTAAAAGAAGCACGTCGCAAGAACAAGGACGACGGGATTCAAGCTTTCTCAAGCTTGCCTTTGCCATACCGCGCCATACCGCAGGAGGAAGCCAAGGTGGAAGAAGAAGCTCTGCGACAGGAGCAAGAAGCTGCCAAAGCAACTCACGACGCTGCAGAGGTAAAGCTCCACAAGGCGCCGGAGATCGATAGCAACGGGATTGAAAGAGAAAATTGAGGAACTGAAGGGGAGTCTGAAGAAAGGAGAGGGAGAAACAGAAAGTAATCCTCTGCCGTACTCTCATGAAGTGGCGCAGCAGAAGGACACTTTTGCCTTCGTCCCCTTGTCGCATTTGTCGGGATTGCGGCTTTGGCCGCTTGACCCGGGTGTGTTGGAGTGACTTAGGCTAGGGCTAGGGCGGCTAGGTTTTCCTCATGACATCTTATAACCTTCACTGAAACCCACAGGCCAACGAAGGGCTTGAGCAGGAGCCCATTCCCCTCACTCCAGTTCACAGCGGCTGGACTGAGCCGCATTGGGCCCGGGTCCGGTTATAAACAGTCACCCCGGACTTAAGCCCAAGTTAAAAGAGAGGTAAAGCCTGCAGAACGGAAGAGGACACTGAACGAGAGAGAGGGAGAGAGAGAGAGAGAGAGAGACACTAAAATGTGAGTGGTTGGGCGGGCCAAAGGCCTGAGGGTCGTAACACGTCCCCTAGATCTGCACCCTTCTGTTTCGCCAAGTCGTGTCACCCAGACGCAGAAATCGGGGAACCTGCGCAACAAGTTTACACCTTGGTGTGTTGCTTGGAAGACCGATCCCTTGGCTATTTTGTTACCACAGACCCGGCTACACAAGTGGCTGTGTGGGCTGTGCGCTGGATGCACAGGATAAGGGGCACCTCCGAACTATAGTTGTCAGGAACGTGTTGATGGGGTCAGCGAAGTTCAGGGTCGATATGTCATATTTTCGATCAGCGGTCGTGCATGTCTTGACATACGCCCGAGATGCGAGGTGCAGACCCAACTGGAGCATACCAGAGAGGACTGAGCCTACTGCCTCGCTGTTGGTGAGGGATGTTGGCTTTCAGAGCCTTGCGCATGCACAGGAGCAGAAAGCCGCAGTGCAAGCTGCTCGAGATCGTGCTCAGCGTCACATCGTGGACGATGAGGAAGAAAGGAGAAGCCTCAGCTCTTGGCGAACCATTGTGGGGCTTGTGCATGTTTTCGCTAGAGCTGGCCTGCCAGGACGAAGGAGGCAGAGAAGGCCCTGAAACCCTATCAGCTGAAGCTCCAGGAGGCAGAAGGACGTTTGCATCAGCAAGAAGTTCAGAACCAGGCCCGGCGTCTGGCACTCATGCTTCTTTCAGTCGATGCTGATTGTGTCAGGTGCAATCACAAGAGATGACCAAAAAGACAGCAGCATTGCAAACTGAAGCGAAGCAGAACGCATCCAACTTGCAGTATCCTGGCAGCTTGAAGAGCCCTTTGCTCGTATGCTTCCCATGGTCTCGCGGATATCTTTCTCAGCAAGCGGACACTTAGGCGCCAAGAGCACGGCAGTCTGAGCCTTGCCCGCCTAGAGTGCTTTTTGCGAATGCGTCCTGCTGCCTGCGGCAAGTTTGTGGTTGCACGCATGCACACGCACTCAGACAGACACACACACACACA